CCCCGTCCTCTGCCACCCCTCAGCTTGAGAATCTGAAACTACACACCCACCCTAAGAAAAATACACATATCGGTTTACATGCATTTCAAGGTATTCGTGGATGTCAGGTTTATCTAAAACTTATTTCCTTCCTTCAGGCCATCTTTATTCTTAGGGGGAAAAAGTCAGCTAAATATTAATTCCCTGCAAATTAAAAGAAAGAGACATGGCATTCGCAGAGCAGCTGGACACCGAATGCTATGAGACAGAACTTAAAACGGTCTTTAAGACTGGCAGATGTGTGTTCCTCAGGTCTCCGGGCAGCTGAGAGCACAGTCCGTCTAAGCCATCAGCCCTTCTCAACCCCAGCCAGGTGCTGCCAAGTAGGGATGCAGGTATGACACAGACAGATTTTTAAGTATTAGCAACCGATTCAAGTTTAAAAAAATACTGAAAGCAAAAAACAGACCCACTAGCCAAAGTCCATCTGCGGGCTGGGCTGCCTGCAACCTCTGCTCACAACTCAGAGTAAGAGGTATTATTACCCTTATAATCCACCCAAAATATCTGCTCCTATAAATCACTCCATTAACATAAACCTTTGAGATATTTTTCAGGCTCGCAGCACGTAAGTCTAGAAAAATCTCTGAAAAATGACACATTCCATCCATCACCTTCTGCAGGACTGTGAGGCAGGAGGGCCTCCCAAGAAGCAGTTTCCAGTCCTTCATCCTGATCACTTGAAGCTCTGTGCACCGCCCTTTGGAAGATCCCTAAGCACTCACCTGAGGTGGGACTGTATTTCTACTTCTCGTCTCAGCTGATGCTCCACTCCAGCTTTCTCCAGCTGAGCTTTGAATAAGACTTTCAGAGCCAGGATGAACTTGCTTTGTTTTTCTCTCGCCAAGTAAACGTTTCCAAACTTCCCTTTCCCCAGAGGGCGACCAATTTCAAAATCTTCCAAAGCCCATTGCCTTCTAGGAAAAAAAATTGACCATTTTAATGAGTAGTAGACACACCCTATAAATAATTTTACATTTACTGCATTCAGAATGTACCCTCTGCCCAGAACCAAGCCAATACCACAATTAATGAGTCACCAAAGGCATTTACCCACCCACCCCACCTGTCTGCCACTGGCTGTGAGTCAGTGACAAGGAAAAATGTGGACTTTTAGTGCTGAAACCCCCAATGCAGTGTCCTGAGGCATAGAGACCTACTAGCAACACGGAAGATCATAAGAAGGATGAGGCATGTAAATGGACAGGGAAGAATGCCTCAGAGCCATCCATGGGCAGCTTGAAAACTAGCCACAGCCTTCTCTCCTCAACCCTCCGGGAGAGGCTAACACTCTCGGGGGTGGAGAACCATGCTGGTAAAGCAAGCGGGATGGATCCCACAGAGCAGATAGGGGGAGGACCATTAGATTCTCAGAAAGTCTCCACTAGGCAGCTAAAGCAAAAAAGTGTGGGTTGATTCCCAGCTCCTCCACATTCTAGAGTCTAGACAGTTCAGTGATTGATAGCAGGCCTTTAGAAACTATCTGGGGAAGACATCATAGCCAAGCTTTGTTATAAAGAATACAGTAATTCTATTAATGCTGTCCAAATACTCATACTCTCATGTATGTATATACAGGTATGCATTATGACCTCATTTTTTAAACAAACTCTCACCTCTGTATATAAACAGAAAAACATACAGAAGCATACACAAACCACACGCATTGGTTACTTTTAAAAGCAGAACCTTTTATTTTATACATTTCTGTAACATTCACACAAGTTTTTTCTAAAGTTGAAAAACAAAAGGAAAATTTCAGTTCCTAAGTAAAATCTATCATCAAAATCCCTTTTTTTTAATAAAGATTAAAAACTTGGAAATATTTATATTTTCAAAGTGAAAATATAAAGACCTCTTTACTTTTTAAAGAGTTCCCAAAATTAAATTCGCAGCTGAATGGTATGCTCTAATAGAGCAATAGCAGAGCTTTGTAAATAAGACAGAACTTACTTTTTCGATTCTTCATTTTTCTGTTTTGATGCCACTTCCTTTTCAGAATCATTTCCTGCACAGAATAGTTTAAAAACCTGATTTAGAATAACTATGTGGAATAAATTAAAAACCTGAGAACAGAAATGAATCCAAGAATGGTCACCAAAACATTAATGATATGGCCAGAATGAGAGATCTGGCCAGTTTTGGTTTTCTTTATAGAAAAAAAGACGACGCAATGTAAGCTGACTGCCACCCTGTGAAACCTACAGGTTCCCAGACGAAGGATGAGCAGACAGGTACAGTCAGGCCTTCCAATAATGCAAAGGCTCGAGACTATTTCCAAATGAAGAGCTTCTAGGGCAGAACTGTCTTCCCACCCATGACAAGGGCCCACCTGGTCATCTTTCCCCAGAGGTGGGCCAGCCAACTGTCCACATGCTACATACAAATGTGATCAACAGTGTGCACCCAAACCTAAGCCAACACCTTCCCTCCACCATACTCCTTGTCAGGGGGAAACATAGAACTAGAAGCTGCCAATTCAGCAAGATGTACGACAAACCAATGGTACACAGGGTGCTAACGTCGCTATTTCATCAGCCAGAGACTGTATGGGACATTGCCTCTTGCCTTTCTTGGCACTTTTAAACTCTAGCAGCAGCACAGCATGGTCTGCTAAGACATCGAATGCAGGGCCCAGCTGGTTTTTTTCCTTCCATGGTTCACCATCTCAGTTAATGCCATTAATATAACCGCCATGTCCACATCCAGTTTATTGCCCAGTTTCTATCCAGCCTGCACCTCTCCATCCTGACTGTCTTTGGATAAGTTAATGTTTCTGTGTCTCAGCTTCCTCCTCTGTAAAACTAAGTTAATGACTCTACCTTCATAGAGTGGTTATGAGGATTGAAAGGGACAAGGTGGAAGAAGAAAGCACTCATCTCAGAGCCTACTGTGTGGGCACTCAACAGAAGGTAAACAGTGACTGTTAATATCTACCCGGCCCACCCAGTCAGGCCTCCCTCCCAGCTGGTACCTGGTCCAGCGTAACCACTCTGATTCATTCCACACCTCCAGACGAAGCTCTCTACAAGGCACAACAGTCCTTCCTCTGCTCATAACCCTTTCAGCAACTTCCCAATGCACACGAGATGAAGCCCCACCCCTCAGCACGGCTGACAGTGCCCACGGGGTCCTCAGCCGAGCCTGCCTCAGCCCATGCACTTTCTCCTGATTTCCTCCATGCTACGAACCCTGGAACTTTTTGGTTCCTCAAATGTACATACCATGAGGGTAGGAATCAGGTCTGTATTCTTCGCATATGGCTGGCCCACAGGAGACAGTTACTTCAACTTGGTATCAAATTGTCTCCCCAGACTCAATTGAAATGATACAAGAGCTGGGGCTCCAAACAATGCAGAACACAAGTCTATATACACTTGCCTTTTTTTTAAAGCACCTAAAAAGCATGGCTACCCAATGAGTCCCAGGAGGCTGACTTACCCGAGGCTGGCGGCTGGGGCTGCTCGCTCTTTTGCGCATTACTCAGTGGCCTAGAGACAGGGCGAGGGCCACTGGTGGCCTGCAATTGCTTCTGCTTTGGATTCAGAGCCGGTTTATGGCTGGAGACAAGCCTTTGTGAAGGAACTCGCTGAGAGGAATTGGAAGGGCACAAGACCCGCTGAGCCTGGCCACTGTTTGCAGATAGCGGATGCTGAGAAGGAAATTGCTGCGTCACCGGGACACGTTTTGGTCCATCACCAGGTGTAATTGTCATCTATGGTTAGAAGGGGGAAATAAAAGAAGCCTTAAGGTCTTCATAAACAAAAGCTGAATATCCTGAGAATTTGTTTTCTTAGTATAACAAAATAATGAATGCCACTGATAATAGATGGAAGGGGAAAGCTATCTTAATCAGGACTTCCGAAGGATATGGTTAGTATATAGCTGAAAGGAACACCTGAATAATACTTCCTACCCCCTCCCTAATGCCCAACCTAACAACCATGCTCCCATAAACCAATGTTCATTAACTCAACTTCCATTTAAAAAGAGAGACAAACACTTTCTAAGAATTTAATGACTTGGGAGTTATCACTTAGCAAAAAGCTGCAATACAGAAACTTTATACCAAAATCCCAATCGCACGGACACTTCTTTGACAATACATGTTTAGAAAAAAAATGAAAAAAATACATCTGATCCAGAACCCATTTCAAAGTGGAGTCCCAGGAAACGTTCGCTAACATGTGCCTGACATTCCTCTGAACTTACCTCTCCCCAAATTGAGCCCAAAACAAACTATGGCAAAGTAATTTCTGGCAAGCAAGTTCAGGCCAGTATTAGGCATCTTTTGTGTATATTATGCTGCATACAATGAAGGATACAGACTTGAAAAGCTAAATATAAGACAAAGTAGAACAAAAAAGATGCAGTGAGAGAATCAACACATGTTCCTGAATGCTGAGAAAAGTGACCTACAATTACAAATCCAAAGTGAAGATGAGAAGAATTCCAGATAAGAGACCGATCTCCATCTGGGTTTTATAAACATTACTGAGATCACAGATTATTCAGTTTACCTTAACTGGGCCCGAAAGGCAGTTTTCTTTAGATTTGTCCATGATGCCTGAAAAGAAAAAAGAACCTTTACTTTATACAACCCCACATGCTACAAAGTATAGTTATGCTAGATTGGGGTCCTAGACTCAACACGACACAGTATTTCACGTATTTTCTTTGTTCAAGTGAAGCTGACAAGGGAGCATTGTTTTTTCATGTGACGTAATGGTCAGGATGGGCCTTTTCCCATAAGTTCACCTCTTCCCTGGTACACGACACTGTGTTCCCTCCTGTGGCCAACCCCCCCCCCCAATACCCAACTTCACTTCTGAACTGACTCGTCCCTCTGCTCTATCATCTCTTCTCAAATGGACCCCTCCATCAGTGTTCAAGCCGCTTCCATACCTGCCTCCTTTAAAAAAAAAAGTACTCCTTACACCCTAACTGACCTCAAGCTATGACCGCATCTCTCACCTCCCCTTTCAACAGCAAAGCTCTGGAACAGTTGTCCACACTGGTCATCTCTACTACCTACTACTACTCTCACCCTCCCTAAGCCCACTCCCCTTAGTCCACCTCATAACTGACTCCTACTGTCCAAACCCACAGGTCAGTTCTCCACTTCCAGCTTATCCGAGTTCTAGGCAGCATGACAAGCTCACTCACTCATTTCCCATTCCTTTTTTCACTTAGCTTAGACGTAGGCCTGTGAAGTCCCAGATTATGGACCACGACCACCTCTCTAACCATAGCTCTTCTTGTGTACTGCACACCAGCCACACAGAGCTCCTTTCTTTCCTGAAGTCCCTGCCACAGGGCCTTTGTACCTCCTGCTCCCTCCACCTATGAAGGTCTTCCCCTGAACAGAAGTGTGGCTTGCTCCTTCATTTCATTCAGTCTCTGGTCAGAGGTCTCCTTTTCAGACCATCTCTCCTTTACTTTTCTTCATAGCCCTTACTTAACATCTTACACAACATTACTTGTACTTGTTTACTGTCTGTCTCCCCAGACTCAGATATCCAGCTACCTGCTCAGTATTTCCAAAAAAAAAAAAAAGTAAGCTCCATGAGAGCAAGGGCTTAGTCCCATTTTGTTCAAGGTCTCCCCCAAAACATGCCCGGCATACAGCATGTTGATCATTTGGGGAATAAATCCATTAACAGAGCCAATTAATCATAAAAATAGTTTATAACACTTAGCAAAACCATTCTGTGAGTCAAGCGCCCACCTATAAAGTAAGACATAAACAAGAAAGCAGAAAGCTTTCAGTATTTTCCTACCCCGTGCTCTCTGAACTCCAGAATCCGATCAGAAAGCACTCCCCACCCCCACGCTTCCACAGCCGGTTCACGAATATGCAAATCACTCCGCCTTGAGGCTGGGGTCGCTAAAGGGCCTAGAGTCCCCGAGTAAACAATAAGTTAGTAAGAACAATAGACAAAAGAGCCTGCAACATATGCTTGTGTTTCGCAAACATTACTTTCTCACAGGTTCTCTTCACTTTCCCTTACAGTTATAAAGCAGCAGACTGATGAGATCTCATAGGCCAAAGGACACTTATTCAACAGTCTTCAACAGAAACTAGACATTTGTTCCCATTTAATATACTTTTCCTCCCCAGGAAGATTAATAATAAGCAGAATGGAATGAGATTCTGATCCAGCAATTCTGGAGAAGGCTCCAGGAAGACTGCTCCTCGGGAGATTCGGGTCTACAGCCAGCGCAGGAGTCACTGACCCGGCGGCCTTCCCGAGACCCCGCAGCTCAAACCAGGAGCCCTGCTGTCAGCGCTATTAACACTGGGTTTAAACTTTCCCTTCCCTTCCTTCACGGAATCTACTAACATCACCTGCACACAAAAAAGGAAAGTGGAGGGAAAATGAAATGAGTATGTAGCTGAAAAGAGTTTAATTCAAACAAGGAAAGTGAAGGAGACGTGCGATGTCCTGGGCAGCAGCTACACCCACAGCACAAGGACAGTTAGAAACAGACTTCCAGGCCCAACGCCAGGCCTAACACATGGGACGCTGCATTTTCACAGCACCCCCAGATGACTAGCATGCGCCGGTCTACACCACCAGGTAGTGAAACATCGGAGTCACCTGCAGAGCTCGATAAAAAGAGACACCTGAGCCCGGTGTCCCAGCGCTTCCGACTC